GAAATTAATCTTGGAGAAACCCTAGGAAAATTTACCCAATGGAAAATTAACATAATGTTATGTAGTCAAAGCTCTCCCATAAGTAAAACACGCCTAAAACTTAAAAAGGAAAGAAAAACTAGAAAAGACACAGATCATAACGGGAGGAAGTGTCATGTATATTAATGCATACACAGTAAGAGAACAAGTCACTTAGAACCTTTTTTCTTTGATAAGTTGAAAAGATCTAAATGTAATAACCTTATATCTGCGGTATCTAATGCACTTGGGCTCAAGAAAAAATGGGAACCAAAGGTGAAACCCTAAATGTTTCGCTGGTATGCTTTCCAGCTTAGAGTTTCTATGATTATCAGTAAAGCTCTGCAAAGAAATTGTATAATTTTAAAGTGTATAATTCTTATGAAGTCTCTGGTCCGAAGATAAACGATGATGGCACATGTCAACCGTTATGATCAAAGAAAAATGTTTGAGGATATCTCAAATATATGATTCACATTGATCAATTGAATGAATATATTTGTAATGGACTTATTCATTTTATGGTTTTACTAACTCTCGCATCCAACGATGGTGCAGAGGAGGACACACCTTTTGGTGTCTTCCCTATTGGGAAATATTTATCAAGATTTCTTGATAAAATAGGTAAAAATTATTTTAAGGGTGAAATAATCAGGGATATATGATTAACCCCTTAAGATAATACTTATCAATATTTTGTTCAATAAATTAAATTACTTGCTAACCCATAAAGATGTGTATTTAAGTGTTTTCTAGCTAAGGGATGCAAAAAATGACAATTGGTGGTACTAAAAGGAGAAAAATCAACATAAGTCCCAATTTGCACCAAGGAGGCAGAATTACGTAAGGCTAATCAGTTAACACTTAATGATACCAATTAGAAAAGCTTGAAACAAATATTTTCAAATCAGATCCAAGCTTAACGTATGCCTCAAGCAAGTTAAATCCCAACATTTATGAAGATTTCATATAATATCGAGAAATTGGAAAAACTAGCCGATTAAAGCCCTTAGCCAATCAGTTAAGAGACTTAAAAAGGAACAATTTTGATTTGATTTTCAATTATCACAATCTATAATAAATTCTTTCCTAGAATACTCTATCAAATCCCTATATGGCACACTATAAATAAGTATTCTATTCTCATTCTTTTGCATTGCATATTTTCCATTGCAAACATATATGTGAGATTATTCTTGCAAAACCATCACGAATCCAAGAAGGTTAAGCTTCACCTCCAGTCCTCTCACTGATGATTTCACCACCAAACAACAAGAAATAAGATACTTTCAACACTTTTCCAACCGAACTTGAATTCATACCCTAGCTTCAGAAGATTTCAAAGAATGCAAATTCTTTAAAACCATTGAAGAACTCAAACTCTCCACCTTTCTATGTATGCCTCCAAAAAGCATATATGCATCACTTGTAAATATGTTCTTATCAAACCTTCATCTTACCAATGGAATACTTCAAAGCAAAGTGAGAAAACATAGGATAAATTTCTCAGTAAAAGGATTTGGAGAGATGCTAAATCTTCCTTATATAGATATAATCATTGAGCTTGTAGACAGTGCCAATAGGTACAACTACATCACCACTGCATCCTCCCTTATGAAGGAACAATCATCACACATACCTTATCTGTTCAATGCCAGATACATCCACTCTGAAAGTCGAATGACTCACCATGTAATGAATCACATCCCTTTTCCTAGAAAATGTGATTTCAGTCTATTAACCCAAGTTGATGTAGAAACAATATGGTTGATATAAAAAAAAAGTCAATGTAAATTGGGAACCCCAAGTAATTGACTAAATGATAGAAAACAAGGAAAAATGTGCACATCTCCCATATGGAAATCTAGTCACAAAGATTCTGGAAGAAACAGGGTACAACTTTGAAGAAGAAGAGTTCAAGGAAGAAACAACCATAATAGGAACCTTCTTCCTACCTTCAATGAGGTATGAGCTGATAAATGGAAGTATCACTAAAAAAGAACCATTAAATGAGAAGAAAAAGAAGTCCAAACATCAATAGAATGCTCGAATAATTCCCTTCAAATACACACAACCAAAGACTTCTTGAAAATCATAAGTGGAAATATAGATGTAATCAATGACAAGATCGACTTCATAGAACGCCACTTCATCACTGATCAAACCAAACTTCCCCATGACATATTCTTTTATGATGATCTTGACGCCGAACAGTCTCAATTAAGTTTTTCCATTTGTTGCGTCCTGCAAATTTCCGATTCACTACTTTCCTCCATGTGTTTTAATTCAACATATTTTCCTTCTGCAATTTGAATTTTTAGTAATAATATAAGTGTGATGTTTTCCTTTTATATAAAAGTATAAACTACCCTTTTGTGCATATTTATTTCTCGCAATGCATCTTTACCCACTTTTTTGATTTCGACAAAGGGGAAAAGTATATTCTCAAGGGGAGTAGGGTATACTTTCTATCCAACTCACAAGGAGTCCAAGTACTCCAAACATATTTATTTTGGTTCCCGACACCACTTCCCCTGAGAGATGTCTTGTCGTCATCAAAAAAGGGGAGAATGTGAAACATTGTTTTGTATGTGATATGCTTTTAACAAGGACGTCTACTTTTGATGATGACAGCTAATACATTATGATAAGGCAAGCATGAAAGATTAAGCAGATAAAATGCAAACCTTATCATTAGGGTTTGATGGAACTTACTATCTGATGATGACAACCAAATAGAATGCAACTAAAGCCTCATCTTAAGCTACCCAAGCATGTGCCAACAAAAAGATGTATCTGGAAAATTCTTGAAGTAATGTGATAAACTCTAATTTAGTAATAAGTGAATAATTGTAAAGCAAAAGGAAGTTATCATGAAAGCGTATGGATAAAAGCACTAAAATGTTTTCAAAATGTTTTTACCTAAGAAACTATTTTCAAAAACATCTTGAAATTGTGCCAGATGAATTAGGAATTATCAAAATTGCAAGAGGCAAAATTTTGACTTATCTAATCGGTTACATTTTTTGTCTAATCGATTAGATCAATTAAAATTTAAGTCACAAGTGGTTAGGACATCACCTTAATGATGTGTAACAAGAATATATCTTCTCACTCCTTTTATAAACTTCCAAACGATGATTTTCAAGTATATCTAATAGATTACGAAAATGTGATAATCAATTAGATTGCCTTAAAATGCATTAATTTGAAATTTCTTTTTGAGCCAACCTCTAGCGTATAAATAGAGTTCCCTTTTCTCATTTCATCCAGAATAGTGTTTTGACACTTTCAACTTCCACTCTCTCTCTCTCTCTCTCTCTAAACTTTTCTTTAACTTTCTCTAACTAATGTTTTAGCCTAAGTGTTTTTGTGAGAAAAATCCTTTTGTGAGTGGGGATATATTTGAAATTCTAGAAAGGGTAGAATTGTAAATTCTTTAAGGGAATCTTTTGTATCGACCTTGGTTGAATATTATCCACTTAGGGATTTGTTTGGGTTAGAAGCTAAACCCGTAAAAACTTAGGTATGTGATTGTGTGATTCAGTCCTAATTTAGGTTGGATATCAGCCTGTGATAAAATCTCCTAGGTTCTTGATAAACCCGAAATTAAAACCAAGATAGGTTGAAGCCCAACCTGATATTAAAAGTTTTATAGGTTTGAGATCAATTTGGTATTAAAATCTCAAAAGTTATAGGTTATCCCCTGTAAAACCAAGGATTTGAGCTCAAGGTTTAAGAAGCTTGAAGACTAACATCTCTAAGGTTCTTGTTTATAGAAAGAAGACTAACCTCTTAAATCCACTGTTGGAAAGGAAGATTGACCACTTAAATTTTGAGATCACCTAGAAGAAAAGACGCAAATGCCCATATCGGTCATCTTATATTATTTGTTTGAAGATCAACCATCATTTCCATGTATAAGAGGATTCATGAGTCTGCCTTACTAAAAACTTTCAAATTTTATTGGAAACTCTCAAGATCAATACTTGGGGACAAGACTAATTCGTTTTTGACTAAACTTGTATAATTCTTGGCGTTCTTCTTCTTCCCTTAACTCTTTTAAAATTTTGAAATTTATTTTCTGCCTTTTATTTTTCAGCTGCTAAGTTTTTCAAAAATGTTTTTAAGCTTTAATTTTATTTCAAAAAGTTTATCAAAACCACATTTTCCAAACTACACAATTCACCCCCTCTTGTGTGTGAAGTCTCCAGTCCAACAAATTTGATTTAAGGGGCAAGACGAGGAGCACTCTGACAGAACACACAAACTTGAGTGTGCGTCACGACTTCGAGGAATGGATAAAAATAACAATCTTTAAAGTTCTTGAAGTTATCAACAAAACATCAAACATATTCTTCTTTTGGAGAAACGAGAGAAGCCCTTGCCCCTACTCATCCTTGGTAGAAGTAAACTTCACATTAAACAAGTGAAAGAACAACTTCAGAGTCGGAGCGCCATACATGTACTCACACCAGTATTAAAATACTTTAACATATGCCTAACTCACCGGATGTAGGTGAAATGGGGAGATCTTCAAATGATTAAAAACCCCAAACTTCAAAGTCTATGAAGGGAAGTCTGAACCTTATCTCGGAGAACATACACTCATGAAGAGGCATCAAACATCCATTAAAGGAGCTACACAACCTTTTACTGTGCTCTATGTTAGAGACCTACCAGTCAGAAGATTGGCCGACATCCCCGTGAAAATTTTCCATCCTATGGGCCTCGCTACAAATGGAGGTCATACCCAATACACCCTTTTTCACCCTAGGATATTGATCAGCATTGGTGTGAAGTTTGATATTTTGCTACCTTATCCGTACCATATCCTCCTCGCTGTGAATAAACAAAATTTCACTATCGTGAGTTCTAGAGCATGTTTGAGATTCAAGATACCTCATAATCTCGTCATCACGAAGGCACATGTCATTTATAGACCTAAAAGCCTTAATGTAAACACGAACCCTCAAGTTACCCTAGTAATTCTCAACCCTTTCTAGGTTTTCCACATGCACTTCAGTGAAAGAGAAACCATGACCAATCTCCTTAATATCAAACCTAAATGGGTTAGCCCTTGTATCCTTCTCCACAGGCTCCTCCAGACCCTCGTCCCCCCGAAGACCCCCAGATTCATCACCACCATTATCAGAACTCCTCATATAGTCAAAACTATCACTAATATGTATAGTGTCTGCATAAGGGGCTATAACTTCTAGAGAACCACATCCAGCACCTCTGGGTCAATCACTCTAGTGCACAAGGAAACATCACTTATTTCTTTCCCAGTTGATAAGTTCATAAAATTCATGTTTGGGTTCCCTAGGTTGGCCATGCCTGAAGAAAGAATATGAACAAAAATAGTGGGATGAAGAGAGAGAGAGAAAAATATTACTACAGACAAATTACGAAGGTAGAAGCAAATAAGACAATGAAGAAACCACCTAGAAATTTAGAAATAACAAGGGAATGCAAAATTGAAGAAGAAGAAGAAGAAGAAGAAGATGAACATATCAAACAATATCACTTTAATCCAAGGAAGAACATAGAGAAGGTGAAACAATTATTTCTAGTAAGGGGTCATCCTTGTACAAGAAGACGAAAGGGACAAATCTACTGCCCAGATTGAAGGAAGTCTTAAAAGATGAAATTAACCTCGAGATTACATTAGGACTCAAGCATTCTAAACAACAGTGTCACTCCCTACTCTAGGGATATGAGACCATATATTGGAATAAATTTATGAAGCATTTCCGTGATGAGACTAACATTTAATGTGCATGTTTCCAAGGCTACCTACTCCCACTCACCGAGATTTTCCATTTCCACATTGGCTAAGCAGGGGTTCACCCGGGGGGTACAATATGAAAATAGAGGGAAACCAATGAACCTCAATCCTTGCATTTCCAAGTAACAACAATGACTTGGGGGACAACTGTTTCGGGAAGGCCAAAGGTCATGAGCAGCATTTTCAATTACGAAGTTTCAAACCAAAACTTTGCCAAGTAGGATGCATGTGTAGTCAGCTTCCTCGAGGCGCGAGATACTTGATTCCAACCCCTAAATATCTCGTATAATTGGATATGATCGAGCGGCTCCTTGTCTCACGCGTCTCATTAGATGGAGGTAGTTTCAACCAAATGACATATGTAAACCTCACCATGCACTAATTACATGTATTATCTCATTCTCACTTAAAACTACATTTCTTAAACTTTAATGATTTAAACGTTGGATTAATTCCTCCCCGTTCCGCCGTACCAAAAGCTCTAACTGCCACACTTGAAGAGCTTGTTTCTTCATCACACATATTTTTTCTTCCACTTCGGAACAATAAATAAATACCAATTTTATGTTAGAAGTGTTAATAACGTCACTTTTATCAAACGAAAAATATAAATTCGATTTCTTGAGTTGCAATCTAACTCCCTATAAAAAATAAAGTCATGTTGTTGATTAAAAAAATTAATCAAATATTTCAAGCCAAAAATGCCTAAATTGTCAATATTCCAGTAGAAGTCAAACTTAACTACTTTAAATTAACAAAATTAAAATTTTAATTGTACTTTTAATTTATTTTGTTTTTATTTATATATGGTTTAGGCCGTCTACTATAAAATTTTAAGTTTTGAGTTTGTTATATGGATTATTATAGAATTTTTTTTTGTATGATTTGATTTTTAAAGAAAAATTGATCTAAAAATCTATTTCACATTAAAAATTTTAAATAATCTATTTTACCTATTTTTTATATAGACAATAAAACATTTTATATATATATATATATATATATATATATATATATATATATATATATATATATATATATATATATATATATATATATATATATATATATATATATATATATATATATGGATGGGATCATATCATATCGGTGTTAAATATTAACTTTGACATTAAATCTTATCCTTTTAATATTATTAATCTAAAAATTAAGGTACCTTAAAAAAACTCATGTGTTAGTTTTTAAGTGAATATATCTTAACCTTTAGATATATACTACCTCCGGTCTCACATATAAACAATTTCACAAAAAACTCATTCTTTAAGAAAAATATCTAAATATATTTAAGTCTTACATAACTTCTAATTTTACCTCTATTTTTTATTTTGAAAATTGTTAAAACATAGGAATATTAAGAAAATAGGAATATATATGAAATAATTACATTAAATGTAATAATTATAATTGTTTTTTTTTATATTTAAAACCATTGAATTTTTTTTATTATTGCTTATATTCAAGATTAGAGGGAGTACCGGTCTATAAAATTTTATAAGTTTTTTTAATAGTCTAATATGAACGATTTAGTTAAATAAATTTTAAAAAAATTTAAATTTAATTTTTTTTGTTAAATAGATCAAACTAAATCAGATCTTAAATAAACGAGACTATCAATTTTCATAGACCAGCCAGATTTATTCTCATCTCTATTTAAATGATAATGTTAAAGAATATAGTCAGATTTATTCTCATCTCTATTTAAACGAGAGTGTTAAAAAATATGAATTAACAAAAAAGAAAAATATTTATGAGTAAAAAAACTTAAAAAATATAAAAATAAATCTTAATCATTTATTATTATTACTATTTCATAATCTTTATTGAAAAAAGATTAAATTTAAAATTTACTTCTAAATAATTCGTAGTAAATAAGATTACTCTAACAAAAATGAGCATATTTATACCTGAACAACACATAGAGGTATATCGCCTATCTTCAAAAACTCTTTGGTGTTGTGTACAAATTGTGTAAAGGCTTCATTAGGGTAAGCCAAGTCTCCAATTTGATCCAACGTATACTCACTAGAAGCCACAACAAATCCAACACCTTCTGCACTGCAATCTATCTCCAACCTATTGGTTTCAGAGTTCATCTTCACTCTTCCAGCAAGGAATTCATAATCCACCAGAGCATCTTCCAGAGCTTTTCTCAACTTCTCGGTCACTATTTCAGGAGGGAAATCGTTGTTTGCTTCGAAAAAGTGAACCGTTTTAACGTCGAAATTGAGAACCTTATCTATGTTTGATAAGAACAAGGATTTCTTCTCGGTTTGTTTTGATGGAAAAACCATTGAAGTTTTATGGATTGTAACCTTCATGTCTAGAAGAAGAGGTTGAGTTTCTTGACATATGGTTGCCATTCCGTGTTAAATAAGTATAACAATTCATGTGTTTTATTGTTGAGATAGCTATTTACGTAGGTGGTGTGCTAATTAAATGAGGCCGGCGCCGTGTTTCACATGCCATACCGTGACATATACCATGACCAGATTACATAACATTTTAGTATAATTGATGTAGTATCACTATATTATTATATTTAAATACAATCATTTATTTTTAAAATTTATGAAATATATTAATTTAGTTTACTAGAGTATATAAAACTTATTAATTTAATCTATAATATCTTAAGAAGAGCTATGATTTAATTTATTTCACGAATTTATTTCATTTATAAAATATTTATAGATGTTTGGCCGTGCAATGCATAGATGGTTTAAGACATTAAAATATCTTAATTTTAGAGAATCCTAACTTAATATATGCTCCAAATTCATGAAGTGTTTTTCTCTAACAATTAGGTGGTATGTCTTCAAGTGGAAATCCAGACCACCAGTTGGTTTAGTTCTTTATGCAGTTGGGTTTTTTTCAAAGGATTCTTCATAAAAGGATTCTTCTTTTAAGTTTTCCATGAAGAGTCTTAGTATATGATAGTCTTCAGGTTCTGATTCTAGGGAAAAGGAACTTTGTGTTTCCTCAGTGGATCGACTTTGATAGTGTTGTTACGCGAAAAATGAAAAATACAGAGTCGTTATCGAACATTTATTTATCTCAAGAAAGGGAAATGAAAACCTCGAAGAAAACCTAAAAAGGGAAAGAACATTGTCTCGCGACCAAGAGAAGGGTACCAAATTCGATTACGCAAGGGGAAGATATTAACACCCCTCACGTCCGTTGTACTCAACGAGATCCACTTTTATTATTCTAATCAAAGTATGTGTATATCTAAAGACTTACTTGCTAAGGAAGCATGAATGAATTAATAAAGAGGAAAACAAAAAGTTTTTATTATTGAGTTCGTTCGAGTTTTGTAATCCAGTGCCTACGTATCCCAAAGGGAATCAAAACTCAATAGTTCTTGTTGAAAATGTTTGTTTGTTGGGTGTTTTTTATGGACAATGTTAAGTTCACATTCTAGCAATTAACATTGTTGCTCGACCTTTAGAGACTCACGCGTTGTTGTATTGCATAGAATACAATTAACATGTCATTTTTGAAAAAGTTTTAAAGAGAAAAGCCAAAATGACAAAAAAAGGTTTGAATTTGTTGGAGTGTTTTGTTAGGGTAGAATAGTAAGTGGTCCTCCATCCCGGGGTACTTAGCTACTTTCACACCTTTAGTTTTGAAAATTGTTTGAATTTGTTAAGTATTTTTGGGTTTTGATTTAGAAAATTATTTTTGTTTTAAAAGGATGCAAAAGTAAGATGCAATGTCTAAAGGGCGACTTGATCCTAATTATTGTCATGCAAAGTAAACTTAAAGTTGAGATTGAAAGGGAACATCTAACCTAAAGTTATCATGTATGGTTTAAACCCTAATGTCTATCTTGATTTAATTTAATCAACGATTAAAATTAAATCAAGAAACCTAAGGGAGCATGGCATAATCAACCAAACAATTAATCAAAAATAAAAGAAATAACAATTCTAATATTTTATTATTATTTTATCATGTAAAGAAAAATCAAAAGAAAATTGATTAAAATAAAATAAAAATTAAAACAAGATTAAAAAATGAAATAGAAAACAATGAAACAAAAGGAGGTGCAAGCTAGGATCCAAGGGGTGTGGACCGAAGAAAAGGGCGCTAAAGCCCAAGCTGGAATGGTCCAGAATCAACTTTTTGTTGCAAGGCCAAAAAGCTTCTGAATATGGTGCTACGGGCTCGAGGCAAGGGTGATTATGGAAAAGCCCATGGAATTCACATGCTCAACATTATCGGTCCAACTACACATCTTTCAAAAAATTTAATTTCCATGATTGATTTAGATTATATTTATTAAACAAACTAAAACGACCAATTAAGTAAAAAAAGGAAAAAGGAAATGTGTGTTCCGAGGGATGATTAGGGTTTTAAGATTTAAATCTTCTCAAACTTCTTCCCTCTCTCTCACAACATATGCGCCACACATTATCTTCCACTTTCTCGCCTTCAACCACTGTTGTTCATCACAATGCCACCACAAAACACATCTCCATCATCTCATCTTCCTCTTCTCTATTTCATTTTCCCTAAATCCATCACAAACATAGAGAAAAAAACCTTGAGATCTAAAATTGAAATCACGAGAAGATGATGAATATGTGAAGCTACCCGGTTTTTAGCTATGGTTCAACGTTCGTGCAAATCGATGAAATAGAGAAACCAATACCTACCTGTTAGAGTCCATCCAACGCGTCTTCGATTGTGACAAAGATAAACAAAAAGCCAGAGGTATCTAATTTCATATTCATATGTTCTACTTCTTTGCTTTAAATTCTCCCTTTCTTCTTACTGTTTCTTATATGTTATTCTGTGATTTATGAATGATTTGTTGATGGAGTGAAAAACGTTATTGCGGTTGTTGATGATGATCAGATGAAGTTATTGTTTGTTGTAGATGAAGGTTTAAGGAGGAGTGCTGAAGATTTGTTGTTGTAGTAATTCTTGAAATTTTTCAAAGTAAGTGAGGTTTGTGATGATGTAAGTTTATTGATAGTGATGAAGAATGATGAAGGGTAGCAGGTTTTGAGGTCTGTGTTAGGTGGTGTTAAGTTTATGTGAAGGTGAGTGGTATGAGGAGTGGTTTGAAGGTTTTGTGGTTATTTGTATGGTCTGCAATGAGTTAATGATACAAGTAGTATCTAGACAAGTTTGTGCAGAAGGTTTGAGTAGTGAGCATGAGGAAGTATGACAGTTTAGAGGTTGGTTATGGAGAGAGAGGGAGACGGAGAAGGTGTGAAGGTGTTGGTTATTCTTTAAGAAGATAAATAATGCATTGTGAATGGAGGAAGGTCTGATTTTATAGATGAAGAGAAGTGAGGGCATAATATAATTTTTGTATTGCAGGTTTAAATTATGGTTATGTGTACGTGCAGGTTGTGGAATCAGGTTTTGTTTTTATGAATTTTGTGGGTCTAGTGTTATGCAGGTGCAAAGTTAAGTTTTAATTATGTAGTGATCATGGTTGATGCAAGGCTTTGAATCTGTTTTGGATAAGTCATAGTGTGATACGGTGGGAAAAAACTGACTGTTTTTTGGAATGCTGGTTTGTGTTTTGCGTTTGTTTTTGCAAAATGTCGCGGTAAGCAAGAGTCGCCACCGACTTTTATTTTATCCAACAAGGAAAGGAAAAAAGCACAAAAAAATTCCTTTTTTCGAGATATTTCTCGGGTTCGGGGGGTAGATTATAGAAAGGGAAGGTGTTAACACCCTTTCTATCTGTGGTTATCCACGGGCTCTTAGGTACTTGCTCATATTGTTTTCAAAATATTGCTTTCTTTGTGCTTGTGGGTTTGAAAAAGGTTTTATTTGAAACTTCAATTGAAAAGTGTAAGTGTGAAAAGTTTTTGTTTTTGAAAGAGCAAGTACTTAAGAACCATCTACCTACTCGAAAAGGGAGTCGTTCTATGCTATCTTCCTTTAGACAATACTATCCCACTATGAATGAGTAGGTAGCACCATCATTGGAGTTTTAAGGGTCAATTCGAATGAGGGACATACGGTCACTAAAGCAATGTTAGGACGCCTTAGTGGTAACCCTAATGTCTTAGATCATTTGTTTGAGGCAACAATATCTGAGGCAACCGTTTCGAGGCGACTATGATCTTTTAGACAAGAGGGCGACCTCTAAAACGACCTATACTCAATGACCACTTACAAAGGCAACCAAGTGGGGTGTACCCTAGGAGTGCGCATGTGCGAGTGTGTTGATTTCGGTTATTTTTATCTTTGCACATGTTTAAGGTGATCTAACCATTTTAAGATTTAGGCATTCATTCTTGTCATGCAAACCCTATTACCAAACATCTAACAGTTGTATAATTTGCAGAATTAAGATGCGGAAATTTAACTAACTATTACAAGACGTCGGGTATTTACATCGCCAAAAGCAACCCTTTGAAAATAAAGTAAAAACAGAAAAATAAATATCCTAATTAATTATTACAAACCGGGAGCAGATACATTAATAATCGAATAAGGAAAAATAAATCGCGCGAGTGAATTGGATCGAATGGGAAATTAGGGTTTTGACCCTTCTAACCTAATTAAAAAGAAAATTGTTTTTTTTTATAAATATTTTTTAAAGAAAAGAATTTAGGTTTTAAAATTAAATGCTAAATTAATTAGTGATTAAATAATAAAAATAATTACAAGACCTAATTTTGGTTTTTGGTTATTTTAGAAAAAAAATAAAGTACAATTAAGTTAGTAATAAAACCTATTTATTCTAATTAATTTTTAATTATTTACAAAATAAATGAAAGTTATCTAAAATTAACCTAATTAAATTAATTAATATTTATTGATAAAAATAAAATTCTAAATTTATTTGGACATAAAAATATTTTTGTGATTTTTGATAAAAAAGAAAATTAATTAATTGTTAGTAAAAATAATAAATAAAATACTTAAAGAAAAATATAGAAAAAGGAAATAAAGGGTGAGAAATGGACCTGATTTTAGGGTGCAACAACTGTTGGTGTCATGTGTAAGCTGTTATGTTTTGGCCATTTGTGTTTTGGCTTTTGGCCATTTGTGTTCCGGCCTCAACGTTCCTTAACCTTCTCATGATGTCTGCCTCGCCATGTATTGGTGTCATGTGTAAGTTGTTCTGTTTTGGCCATTTGTGTTTTGGCTTTTGTCCATTTGTGTTTCGGCCTCAACGTTCCTTAACCTTCTCAGGATGTCTGCCTCGCCATGTATTGGTGTCATGTGTAAGCTGTTCTGTTTTGGCCATTTGTGTTTTGGCTTTTGGCCATTTGTGTTTTGACCTCAACGTTCCTTAATGAACCTGCATGGGATCCTGTCTAAATCTGCAGTATTGAATCTCATAAACACATTAAATAAATTACTATATATATCATGAAATACAAAT